GACAGTGCCTCGCCCTCAGCTCCATGAATATTAGCTGTCAGTATTATCAATATTAAGCCCATCCAGCCCTCAGTCATTCTTCTTTCCCTCCTAGCCCCGAAAGCTAATTCCCCTCTCTGTTTCCCATGCTCTAGACTCTTCTCTCCTCACTCATCGGAGTATTTCATCTCTGTACGCCTCCATGAACATATCTGTGAAATGGAACAGAGAATAATGGAGTCTACTTCATGAGGTTGTTGGGAAGGTTAAGTGAGCTAATTCAAGGCCTGAGCAAAGACCTGTGACTATTCAGTCTCATTACTGTTAATCCTACAGCACAAAGGGCTGCCCGGAAAGGCCTTTCAGATCTTGGAGAGTTATAAGAGCCGAAGGCCCAAAGCAGGCAGCGCCATTTAGGATTAACTAATGCCTGAGTGTGAGCCTTGGGAACTAGGGAGACTGCTCGCGTGCTCATTTCTGTAACATAGTGCCTGGACCCAGGAGGCACAGGGTAATATCAAAGTTGTGAATATTCTAAAACAGGTTTGGCTCAGGCAACCTGACAGAAAATTTTCAAGGCAAAACACTCCTAGGTGTTTAAGCATTTAAACTTGGCGAGAAACACCTTCCTCCTCTCCGGTCTTTGCCTCCAGGATTTAAAAACAAAACCAAAATAACTCTGATTGTTTGGAGTTACTATGCTCTAGACATCCTGCTAATTACTTTATAGACATCATCTCTTTTCATCTTGACTTCAGCCCTGAAAGGTAGGTATCATCATTTTCATTTTACAGATGGGAAACTAATATTTAGAGAGGTTGAGCAATTTCCCCAAGGTTGCATACCTGGTTAATTGCAAAGCCAAGATATTTCTCTAGCCTGTGGGACAGGAAGGGGACAGCTCCCATTTGCTCATCAATGTTCTGATTTTGAAACAAATACCATTCACTATTTTCCACTTACCGTTCTCCCAAATACCCATCATATAACCCAGGAGTGTCTCCAAGTGACAGATGCCTCTCCATGGAAGACATCTAAGCTTGACATTATATAACCACCGCTTGATAGACATAGAGCCTCCCACAATTATCTCTTTATCTGACTATCTTCCTTACTTCACATTTGGGAAAGTCAGGTATATCCACCAAAGTTTACTCTAGAAAAGCACTGATAATTCAAAGATAGAACTCTCTTTTATTTACTTCCTGCCACCATACTTCTCTCTATACCATGTACAAGGAGTTCTGGAGTGAGATTAAAGTGGGAGCACATTAGATTCAGTGGCTTTTCTCTCCTTTGCCTTTCCTGTCCCTCACCCCGAATCTATGAGATCATGAGTGGCTATTACTCCTTCCCTTGATAAATAAAGCCTATCAGGCTATGCCCGAGGTCAGGCAAATGAGGAGAGGAAAGTACACACCCTATTGTGGCTAAGATGAAGGCCACAAAAGCCATCTGGATCCTTTGACCTACATTGACGCTGATTCTGTTCCTTGGTGTCCCTGACTTTGGCAGTGTGGTTTGGTTAACTCTGTGCCCCCATTTTGAATTGAGCTTTAATGAAAAAGTAGTAGGAACTCAGGCCTGTCCCTGGGGATTTGGGGTTTTTGTCTTGGAAAGGCATCAACCGAACTAGCAGGGGCAGGAGAGCTGAATTCCTGTGGCTTGGGCTAACTTAGGCCCAAAGAAACCAAGTGCCTGTGATCATCTTCATTCCCCAAATGTGGCCATGCCCTTTGGATTCCCTTCTCTCACTCATGCTCCTAGTTAGGATGGCTTCCAGGTTGCTTACTCTTGCTTTACCATTAGCATGTCTTTCCATATTTGAAACGCTTTAGCCTATGGAACACTTGTGGATTGCTGCTGCCTGGCTGATCTAGAGACTTTTGGATTAGTACACACAGCACCAAAACAACTTTTAAGCATCAGCGTCTTTCCTCTCCCTTGGGGTCCTATATACCTCCCTGAGATTTACCTCTGTGGGTCTTCTACTGTGCCACAGGAGACTGGCTCACCTCTCCCACAGCGCTGCTTCTGTATATCAGGAATCATTTGTTTGCCTTGACTGTATGCCTTGGACAGCTAGCTTGGCTTACTATAATACGACCAGGTTTGTGTGCAGACATAAAAAAGAAGCCAGCCTGTGTAATACTGGATGACAGAGTAATATGTGGGTTGCTATACTGTACTCTTCTCCTCCATACATTCTTTTTTTTTTTTTTTTTCCTTTTGCAAATAAGTTTTATTTATTTTTTTTTAAATAAGTTTTTATTGTTCATATATTACAAATGTTCCTTCCCCTCCCCCCCCACCATTGCTCTCCCCCACCAGGTTCCCACCCCACCCTCTGCTCTTTCCCCACTCCCCATTGTCCTCATCCATAGATGCACAGTTTATGTTCAGTCTCTTCCCACGCCCCCCTCTCCCCTTTTCCCCAAGAATCGTCAGTTCACTCCCCTTCCATACCTCTGATTCTATTATATTCAACAGTTACTATTGTTCATCAGATTTTTTTTTAAATTTCCTTGGTTTTTAGATTCACTTGTTGATAGTTACGTATTTGTTGTTCATAATTTTTATCTTTGTTTACTTTCTCTTCTGAAAGA